ATGTTGGGTTATGAATTCACCAGGATGATTCTTTACGTTTATACCTTGAGACTCTTAGGGCCAAAAGATTGGAGAGGAAGAAGAGAACGTGGAAAAATAGCTGCAGCCTAGTTACAAGGAGGCGCAGTGCAACAAGCTTTTGGAACTTAGGTGTGAAATAGAAAACGGGTGTTTTTATGATTTAAAAACAAAAAACCTTCCCATTCTGGGTATATGTGTATATGCTGACATGTTTATAATAATAGCTCTAATACTGTTGATAGAATTGCTACTCAGTGTGTGATCAGTTCTGTTGACAGGATGAATATTTATGTGAATCTAACACCAAATGGTTCTTCTAGGAATTGCTTTTCCTATGTTGAATGGAGTACATCTATGTAACTGAGAAGGAAATAAAATTCTTTATGTAAAGATTTTGTGCTGGGCCTTTTGTTGATTTGTTGTGTCTGGATTGTGCAGCATCTTGTCCAGAGTCCTATATAACGAAGTTGCAGTAAGCCAAGCCCTAAACATGATTTTTATCAAAATAATCTTAATTGTGAAATGTAATTGCTGTGCCTTTCTCTGTCTCTGAGAGGTTTTGTCAGACAAAAAATTAAAATGCCTTAATCACCTTTCCTAACAGTCATGATAATTTTGACCCTTAGTTATCTTTCACCAAAAATATATTACATTCTCTTCACTTAAGTTTGATAAATGTGAATTCCGACCAGTTAATTTCAACCTCTGACCTTTGTTTTCTCTTTTGAAACATCAGGATAAAAATATCACCAAACAAACAAATCTTATAAGCGACATTGGCAAATTAGTGGAGATGATCCTACAAATGCAGATGAAAAATCAGAGTCATTTTCAAAGCTTCAGAAATATGATGGGACCAGAAACAAATTTGGGAGCAGCAGATGCTGATTGAGAGTTGGCGTGGCTGCTCACAAGTTAGTGGTATGGTGCTGTCGTGTGGAAAGAACACCAGCCAGCAGGACGTCCTGTTGCTTAGTGTTCTTGACATGCTTGGTGCCACCATATCCTGAACATTAGTGATGTGATTATTACCTAAGAATTACAAGTTTAATCCAGGTAATACAGAAAAGAACTACCGTTAGTGGGATCTGCCATGTGTCAGATGCTCTGCCAACCACTTTATTCTCCTCTAATATAATCCCCATCACACCCTTAGCAAGTAGGTGGTGGTTCCCAGAGGGCAGCTAAGGCTAAAAGGTTAAGACTACTCTACTTCTCATTACCTGTTCATCATAGCCGAAGAAAACTTCAGAGCTTAGAGAATATGATCTAGTCTTAGGGGTTTATAAAGACACTCAGCATAGCCAGAAAAATGTGTGTTGAACACAAGGACCTGTATAGTGGAGGAGTGACTGGTTTAACTAGAGTGTAAGCGGAGTGACGCTGTTGCTTCTCTCTCCTTCTCTGGTGCCTCAACTTCATGTATTTGTTCTCCTTCAGATGGTTGTTCTTTGCTTCTCTGTCCATGATGGAAAATGGGTGCCCCTGCTGTGTCCTGCCTTAGCATGTCTTTCCAGCACCCATGCTTATCACAACTGACTGAAGCATTTGTGTTCAAGTCTTGTGTTCAAAAGGTTTTCAGTGCAGGAAAGGGTGTAAGCCTAGCATTGGTCAGATGTCAGGAGCTATGGCCCATTGACTACCTAGTAGAAGCTAGAGCTTCAGTCTAAGATGAATATGAATGGAGCAGACAAGTTGTTTTGATGATATCAATCAGGAAACAAGCAGGATGGAGGTTGTGGAAGCTCACCGATAAGTCTAGTATCTGACAGTGCACAAGGAGGGCAAATTTGGTTCATAAGCCAATGCTCAATCCATTGAGCCATGCCAGCCAAGGCTTAGTAGGGCAAATTTAAGGGCATGGTTATGTAGAATTACTTGCTGACTATGGGGTTGGGAGGATGGGGATTTAGCAAATGCACTGAGAATCCAGGCATTATATAATGCCTAAAGTTAGGCAAGTAGAAAAGATCTTTTGAAACTACCCAGGTGTTGACTGGGAGTATAAGCAGGAAGACTCCTAATTCTTGGGTATTTGGATTGTACTGCTCAGATGGGCAAGAGTAAGCCTGGGCTGGTGAGCAAGGGATCCATGGTAAACCCAGGCATGCTGATGGGCTTAATTGCAGTGTCCAGGGCCAGCTGAAGTGCTCAGTGTAGTTACTTGTGTAGGACCTATTTGAGTACCTGGTGACAAGACCTGAGACTGTCCGTGTACTCTTGCCTGAGCCACAGTTGGACTCGGGGACTGGTTCCTCAGTTTATACATACACAAAGAAGGCAGTAGGGGCTTCAATAGGTAGCACTTTTGGGGAAGTAGGAACTGAAACTAACTCTTTGATATTCAGAGTTTTGTATTGTTGCCTTTTGGAATTGAAAATAATTCCAGCATTCTAGAGTGACTTCAGTCCTTTGCCTTCCCTGGGAAGTTTTCCTCCTCAGTGTATTTTGGGGTCGAGGTGTATTTGTGCAGTTTAGATGTCATGACACTTGGGTCTAATCCTAGGAAAATAGATTTGATTACAGACTTGCTGTTGGGCTTCACCAAGTTTAGGATTTGATCATTTATGAGATTTGTAAAAACATACCTGAGGAAGAGATTCACTTTGGGCATGAATGAGTGAGAATATCAGTAAATTCTGTCCCCCCAAAGCAGCTGTAAAATTGGACAAAATCATCAAAAACAACCATAGGCTTATAACAAATTGAGAAGCATTTATTCATAAAAACCACTGAGTTTTGAATAAGGACACAAGTTGGTGATCCTGCCCAGGATTGATGCCATTTTTTCCCAGCTCTGATAGTATAGGAGTTCGGCCAGGGCGAGGTGGGCCATGGAAACCAGCAGCTTCACTGCTCCTGTGGAAAGGGCTCACTTGATTTGGAGTGTTGTCAGTTAAACGTGATGATCTTGGTGACACGTGAAGTAGGGAGAGCCAGCAACTTCGCTAGCCCCGTTACAGTCCTGTTTCCGACAAACCGTGGGGCAGCAGGCCGGACAGCACTCCAGCAGAGAGGTCTGGGAGGCGAGACAGCTGCAGGGAGCTTGATAATGTCTCCATCTATCCTGGGTTCACTGGAGGTTTTACGTACTCTAGTGTGAGCCCAAGCCACCTACACATCTCTGGGCAATGCCAAGGACATGTGGAAAGCCCAGCAGAAAATAACAACTATAGGAGACTTGAAAGTGTGACTCTGCTCCCCATCCCAACCACAGGTCAGTCAGCAGAGAGCAAAAAGGCTCAAGGTGGTCGAACTCCTCTGACCAACCAGTAAGCTGTGCAGACACGAGGGGTGACCTGGTAGAAGCCAGGCTTCAAAATAAAAACGAGGGCGGAGGGAACCCTGAGCCATCAGAAGCCACGCATTGCAGGAGAGACAGGTTTCACAGATTTAGTCCAGGCAAGTTAGTAAACAAAACAAACCAACAAACCACCAGTATCATAAACTTTAGTGGGCAAAAAATCAGAATCTAGAGTTGTTAACAGTGCATTATTTTAAATGTTCAGTATTTAACAAAATAATTAGAAGACATTTAGAGAAGCAAAGTGTGACCTGTACTCAGAAAAAATAAATCAGCCAGTAGCAACTACGTCTGAGTGGCCCCACGTGTTGGTGTGGCGCACAGAGACTTCACAGCAGCTGTTACAGACGTTGCAAAGAAATGAAGGGAGCTGTGTTCAGAGAATTAAGGAAACTGTGATGGCAGTGACTCAGTGAATAGGGAATCGCAATAAAGAAAGTACAAGAAAATAAAATGGAAGTGTTAGATTAAAAAGTATAATAACTGAAATGAAAAATTAATTAGGGGCTCCAAAACAGATTCAAGATGGAGAGAGAAAGAATTGTGAACTTGTAGATAGATCAGTAAAAATTATTTTTTATGAAGAACAGAGAAAAAAGACGGAAGAATAGTGAACTGAGCCTCTGAGCTCTGTGGGACAACGTCAAGTGTGTACATAAGGGCCCTGGCCGGCCTGCGAATCAAGGGGTCACCGGTTCAATACCCAGTCAGGGTACTCGCCTGGGTTGTGGGCCAGGTCCCCAGTAGGGGACATGTAAGAGGCAACCACACGTTGATGTTTCTCTTCCTCTCTTTCCCCTTCCCTTCCCCTGGCTAAAAACAAAAACGAATAAATAAAAGTGTGTACATAAGGATATACATGTATAAAAGGAGAGGAGTGAGAGAAAGGAGCAGAAAATATTACAAGAAATAATGGCCCCAAACTTCCTGAATTTGATGATAAGCATTAGCCTACAGATTCAGAAAGTTTTATGAACCCCATGTGCCAACTGGAAGACAGAGACAAGAAGAAAAATCATGAAAACAGCAGGAAGAAAAGTGCTTTATCGCATGAGGGAACTGCAGTGGGCTTCAGGGCTGCTGGCTTCTCAGCAGCAGCAGCAGTGGAGGCCAGACGGCAGTGGGATGACATACTGAACGCGTGGGAAGAAAACATTGTTAACCAGGAATTGTACATCTAGCAAAACTATTCTTCAAAAATGAAGGCAAAATAAAGATATTCCCACATAAAAAAAGAAAACAAAGAATTTGTTGGTAGCTGACCTGCTTTAAAATACTAAAAGAAGTTCTTAAGTCTAAAAAAAGTTTCACCAGATGATCACTTGAATCCATAAGAAGAAATCAAAAACATTGGAAATGGTCAATGTAATTCTTTATATTTTTCTTACTCTCTTTATTTTTAAAAAAGGCATAAGATTACATAAAGTGGTAATTGTAACATTATTATTGAATTTATATGGCATATATGGCAATATTAATAACAGAAAGGAGGGAATAGGTGATATATTGGAGCAAGTTTCTATATTTCCTGGAATTAAGTTAATAAATTGTGATAACTGAAGATGCATATTGTGATGCCTAGAGCAACCATAGAGAAAATAACAAAAAATACAGAGTGAAAAAGTCAACAGGGGGATTAAAATAACACACGAAAAAATATTTCACACAAAAGGAGATGGTAAAGGGGGATGAGAGGTTTGAAAAGGCATGAGCCCTGGCTGGGCGGTTCAGTGGGCGGAGCATTATGTCATGCACCAGAAGGTTGAGGGTTTGACCCCCAGTCTTAGGTCGCAGGTTTGATCCTCCGTTCGGGTGCGCATGGGAGGCAGCTGGTCAGTGTTTCCCTCTCACGTCAGTATTCTCTCTCTTTCCCTTCCTGTCTCTAAAATTAATAAAAATATATTCTCAAGGATAAAACAGGAATGAAACAAATGAAAATAAGCAACATTCAAAATATATATAAATCCAACCATATCAATAATTATATTAAACGTGAATGGACTAAGTGCCTATTCACAAGGTAGGGTGATTGTCTGCATAGAAAGGCAGGACTCAGCCCTACGCAGTTAATAAGAGACATGTCTTAGAAAAGTGGTGACTATGAGAGGAAAAGATAACAATTACAAAAATATACCCAACAGCCCTGGGTGGTGTGGCTCTGGATTGAGTGATGGCCTGCAAACAGAAAGGTTGCAGATTTGATTCCCAGTCAGGGCACATGCCTTGGTTGCAGACCAGGTCCCCAGTTTGGCAGTGTGGGAGAGGTAACTGATGATGTTTCACACATCAATGTTTCTATTTTTTTATTTGTTTTTTTGGGGGAGAGGGGAAGGGAAGAAGAGAGGGAGAGAAACATCAGTGTGTGGTTGCTTCTTATGCACCCTCTACTGGGGACATGGCTGACAACCCAGGCATGTGTCCTGACTGGGAATCGAACCAGTGACCCTTTGGTTTGCAGGCGGCACTCAATTCACTCAGCCACATCAGCCAGGACTCTCTCCCTTTCTTCCTCCCTTCTGCTTGCCATAAAAAGTAAATAAACAAAAGCTTTTAAAAAAATGAAAAAATATTTATCTAACAACACCAAAATACATGATACAAAAACTGACAGAAATTAAATGAGAAATAGGTAATTCAACAATGTTGTAAATTTCAATATCCTACTTTCAGTAATTGATAGAAGAACTAGACAGAAAATTGGCAAGGATATAGAAGACAACACTATCAACCAACTTAACGTAGCTCATATTTATTGAATACCTCATGCAGAATATCTATTCTTTTCAAGTGTACATGAAACAGTCTCTGAGAATATTCTGGGCCATAAAATGTCTTAATAGTATGAGTCATTAGGGGAATGCAAGTTAAAACCATAGTGAATTTTCACTGCATACCCTCTGGAATGTTTATAGTCAAAAAGACTATAAAAATATTCTAAAAAGTGTTGCTGAGTCTGTATAGAAACTGGAAAGCTTGTGCATTGCTGTGAGAGTGTAAAATGGTATAATCTCTTTGAAAATCAGTTTGGCAATTTAAGAAACAGTTAAGTGTAAATTTACCATATGATAGAGCAATTCTACCTAGGTGTCTACCCAAGAATAATAACATAAGTTCACACACAAAGACTTCATGTCAGTGTTCATAGCAGCATTATTTATAATAGCCAAAACTTGAAAACAACCTAAATGCCCATCAACTGGTGAATGGATAAACAAAATATGGAATAATCATATAATGGAATGCTATTCAGCAATAAAAAATAATCAGGTGACATATGCTACAGCATGAATAAACTCCAAAAACATTATGCCAAGTGAAAGAAACCAAACTCAAAAAGACTATATGTTGTATGATTCCATTTATATGAAATGTGTAGAACAGACAAATTTACAGAGACAAGACAGATCAGTGGTTTTCTGGGGCTAAGGGTAGGAGTGGAGATTGATTGGAAACGGGTTCAGGGGGAGTTTTGGGGTGCTGAAAGTGTTTTAAAATCGAATTGCAGTGATAGTTACATAATTCTATAAATGAATAAAAGTCATAAAATTATATACTTATAGTGGATTAATTTTATGTTACATAAATGATACCTAAATAAAGCTGTTAAAAGAACTAAGATTTGTTGGCAGAAGGATGCTTTTGGATAAAATGGTTTTAAGTTCATCAGTCATGTGATGGCCTATTGATTTGTGATGCTTCTAATTAATCTTTGCCTTGGGACCTGTGCCCTCCCTCTCTGCTGCCCAAACCCTGCCCTGTACCCTGCCCCACTAAAGAATCCATTGGAGAGAACTTTTTCAAGTGGAGAAACCACTTTCTCTTGTTCGGGAGGACTGACTCAACTCTTTGGAGTGTGGCTCTGATGGACCATGTAAGCTGATGATACAGAAAAATGCCAGCTTTCAGCCTCAGATTATAGATTAACCCCAGCCAGATAGACATTTTACAAACATGTGCTGCTGGTTGACAACTGGTGAGAGTTTGGGGAGTAAGAGATTTTTGCCTACTGAAAATAGACAACCCATGGAATGGTACCATTGCAGACCAGATGTTTTGGACTGTACTGCTGTGTGTTGTGTGTGGCACACTTTTCACTTTTTCTCAGGCTGCACAACAGTCCCATGAGATAGGAGACATATCCTTTGTCCCCCCTTTATAGAAGTGAAGCTTACAGGGTGACTGACTTGTCCAAGTGCACACAGCCATTGCAGAGCTGGATTTAAATTCAGGTTTTCTGACTCCATATTTCAAATCATTTCTTCTGTATGCTACTGTTTTGCCTCAACTATTTAATGGAAAGAGGAGAGAAAGGGGCATGTGATTTTGATCGATTGACTTCATTTATTTTCAGTAGATTCAGAAGAATAGGAGGAGAAGGTGGGCTTCAGTATAAGTTCAGGGATTCTATTGCCAGTATAATCAGGGTAGGTTTATCTTGATATCTGGTAGCTAACAAAATTATACCTTGGTTGGAACAGGCATAATTCATGGCACAGAGGACTTGAAGGTATTCTGGACTTGGTTGAAGGGGCAGACCACATTCTAGGTTATAAATATTATCGTTCCAGAAGTCACAAGGAAATTCACTTGACACTTATGGAATGTCCACTCCCTGCCATGCCTCTTGTTAAGATACGGGATCACAAGATCCAGGTGGATCCTGTTGAGAGACAGCCTGAGAGAACAGGAGTAGGCTGGAATTCTCTTCATTGTTTTCATTCTTTGAGGCTGTGTGTCTGCGCTCCAAAGTGACCACTTCCGCCATGGACTTACTGCTGCTGTCCCTGCAGCTGTGCTTTCTACAGGTCCCCTTTCTGGATAAAAATAGTCCATCATTTTTTCCCTTATTCATTGTGGATTCTTCCATCTGGTTTTCAGCCAAACATAGGTAGGCCTTGCATTTTAAAGAAATGGTTGCTTTAAAAAAAGACATTAAGAATAATTTTTAATTGTTGAAATAGTGCATGCTTATTGCTGAACACTTGGAAGACATAGATGAGTTAAAATAATAAACATACAATAAAAGTCACCTCTCATTCTAAAACCTAAAGATTTCAGTTGTCCACAGTTTCGCTTCCAGACCTTCACTCTGCTTTTTACTTCCTGTCAGCCAGTGCATGCACACCCACACAGATCTTAGTATTTTGTTTGGTATCAGGCTTTGTGCAAAATGTTTTACATATATTTTTACTCTTCAAGTAGCCCTGTCAAGCAAATACTATTATCATTATCTCCTGTTTATACGGATTTAGTGGGTAAGTAATTTGTCCAGGTTCACATAGATGGCTCAAGCTCTTCATCACTACCTTTCCCGAAATCTGTTTTCATCCATGGCTATCACTCCAAAAAATTGTTCTAAGACTATTAGTAATTTTTAAAATTTTCTGCTTTCCTCTCTAACCTTGTCTTAGGACCTCTTCTCTGCTTTCTATGTGCTTTAGTCTCACTTTCAAGCCACGCTTTCTGAAAGCACTACGCCCTGTGTACACTTGCCATCCATTCCCACTGCTTGGAATGCTCGCCCCACCTGTCTCACTCATGCAGTTTACCCCTAACCATGCGAGCCTTCATTTACACGTCACTTTCTTGAGGTACACTTCCCAGACCATTCTCGCTTCCAAGACCAGATTGGTCTCTTCCAATATTTGCTCCCATAGTACCTCCTTTTTTTCTTTTGCAGAACTTTTCACACTTGGGATTATTTGGCCTGCCATTTGCATTTTTGTTTCTTCCACATTTCCTGGCATCTGTTGCAGGTGAGGTGCACAGTATGTGTCCAATAACTGTGTCACCTGTCGACTTTCTGTGCTTTTGTTCTCAGCTCCATGCTTACAAATCATAAATGCGCATTCTCTGTTCAAAAAAAAAAAGAAGCTCTTCTGTCTTCCAGTTCAGAATTGCTCGTTTCTTAGTGCACCCCAGGCCCCTAATCTAGTCAAGGGAGTTCGGCAGCATTCTCGACTTCCTGCTGTCTTTTCTGTTTGAGCCCATTTCTAGGAAGGTGGATCTGGTCTATTGAGCTGAAAAGATGGCCAGGGTGTTTTAAGTAAAAGAAGTTATGGAACACTATGTATAATTTGTGATATTTTATCTAAATATAAATACATGTATTTTAAATATCTCCAAAATATTTGAGAGTACATACAGTGAACAGAATGATGAGAGGCGCCAACTAGTGGACTTCCTTTTTCCCTTTTGTATGAATTTTTTAGTGACTACATATTTGGAAAAAGATCCTAATGCAAAAAAGAGAAATACAAACCCAAAACAAAGCTAGTAAGGTGGCTTTTTGAGAGAGCCTTTCCATTCTTTCCAACCCTGCTGCCTCAGTCCTTTCACGCAGCAGGTCTCTCTCTCTCTCTCTCTCTCTTCAGTCTCTCTTCCCTTCTCCCTGTACATCAGTGTGGAAAACCTTCCAGAAGTCTTGCTTGCATTGTCTCCTTCCAGAGCTTAGCGCTTAAAGAGGCCTCCTGTTGTACTATGAATTTTTCTGCCTCGTTCACAAGATCTTCTGTAGTTTGTTCTTTTCCCTTCCCAGTGCTGTTTCCCATGACCCTTGACACAATCCCAGAACTCCTCTGCTCTTAGCCCCTATGCATGCCACACATTCTCTCCGTTGCTGATACTTATTTACAGTCTCACCTGCAGAAAACAACACCCTTACAATCACATAATTGTCTCTCTTCCCTGTAGCACTTAGTTTTATCTAAGAGGAACTGCACAGGATTTTGGTGACTGAAATATGTCATTTTTTTCATTGGCCTATTTCGAGACTGCTGATTCTCTGTAAGTAAATGGCGTACTTGCTCAGGTGTACATTTTTCAAAGAACATCTCAGACATTCTTTTCTAATTTTTCAGAAAACTTGGGAATAATTTTCTCTATCTGAATTACTTTCTCTGTGTCCACCAGAATGAAAGAAAGAAAACTTTGGTTTCTCTAAGTACTTCTTGGGTGGAACAGTCATCTGAATTTAATGTTGTCCATTAGCTTCTTTCAGGGAGGCTTTAGTTTTGAGAAAGCATAAACTCAAGTGCATCAGTCTTTAAATAACATCAGACACAATTTGATATGTATTTGGCTGCCACAACCTGGTGCAAAATTGTATGTTCTTTGAAGGGAGATACTCGGTAGCAGCTTGAGTATGGATCTACCTGTCTGTGCTCAGAAGAGTTGTGGCAATATCAGATGATGGCAGAGAAGTTTGGGAAATAGTTGAAAAGTGGATGACATGAAGTGTGGTGGTGGAGGCTGGTGTGAAGTTGGTGAGTTTGACTTTTCTTGGGCCAGCCTTTGGTAGCTCAGAGTCATCTGTGGGCTTGTTATAATAAAATGCAGAGTTTAGGGCCCCTGCCGCTGGTCTAGGGAAGAACTCAAGAATCTGTATGTTTAAAAACAACTCGAGGTGATGGTGGTGCCCAGCCAGGTTGAGGAAACGCTGGCCCGAGCCTCGTATTTTTCCAGAATTCTTGTCACTTTTTGCATTTTTCTTTTGTCTTTGGTCTCTCTTTTTAGTTTTTGTCTCACTAACCCTGTACTTTTCTCTCCTTCCAAGTTTGGAAGGCTAAATGGACAATACTGCCCTCCTACTGCCTTCTTTAATTTGAATTTTGCTATGAGAATCTGTTTCTATCTCAGACTTAAGTGTATGGTAAAAAAGCGTATGGAAAACAAGGCCCTTGTTTTCCTGTCATTATGATGAAAGATTTAGTGGCTTAGCTTATTTTATAGGATTCACAGATTGACACTAAATTTTATTAAGAAAAGTGATGTGCATCTCCTAAATCAGTTAGATTTTTTTCTTATTTGAAGGACATCATTTGCAAAGGCCAGAATTAATGGTCCTAATAGCATTGGTCAAAAGAGAATACTTAAGTACGTTTGAGCAATAATAAGCAAGGCATTCATACTAAGACTGCAGTTATTTAGAAGAATGAGAATAATGTAACAAGGCTTGTTGTGGAAGGCCATGTATAATGTATAACTGAGTGCAAAAGCAGATTATACAGCAGTAAGTAAAAGGTGAACTTGTTTTAAGCCACCCTCCAAAAAAAACCCCCCCAAAAAAGTTCTCTAAGGATAACTATTTTATGATATTTATTACCTTAATAATGAGTAGATGAGGTAATAAACTAAGTTCATTATATTTCATTTATAACAAGTTATTAAACTTGTTTATAATATTTGCAGGTGATTGCAATTGAAGAAATGGGTTGCAGATGATGAGAGAGGGATTTTCAATTTTTACTTTATATAGTTCTATATTTGAATATAAAGTAATAACATTGACTCTTTAATTTAAAAGTTATGAAAACATTGATTATTTTTAAATATGGTATGACATCAGGGTATATAGTTTATTCCTCTGGTAAAATATCATTTCTTTAACTCTAGAACATCTATGGAAAAATGAAAGTACCAGGCATTTAGAGACCCTATTTCCTGTTAGAAGCAAAGAGAGCAAGAGAGACTTCAGCCAGTATACTGGAAACCACAGCAGCTGCCACCTAGCACAGTAGCTGATGAATTCTCTGCACGTGCCTTACCCTTGGGTTGTTTGGTCCGCAGTTTGCATTCATTGATCAGTGAGTTGATTCAGACTCAAACCCACCGACAGCAATGAATGTTGAGTGCAGCCATCAGTGTTTCCTTTTGGTGGAGTTGCCTGGGCTCTCCCCAGCTCCTGGCTCTTCTTTTTCACACCGGTTTCTTCGACGTGTGGCATTTCTCCTAGTAACTAACAGTTGAGAACCCATGTAATTACTGATAACATTGACACTAGAGCTGGGGGTTCTTAAAGATGGGGAACTGTGGCTCAGAGAAGAGAAGGGGCTCCTGGAGAAGCCAAAAAGTAGCCTTGTGATCACACAGGCAGTGCTTGAATACTGGGAGGTACGAACAATAGTTGAGGACCCTGCTTCTTTCTCTCTCTTTTGTACTGAGAAATATGAGTACTTTTCAAGTTAAATTAGCACAGGTTATATTTTGGGTTAATAATAATAATAGCTTACATATATTGAGCATTTGCTGTGTGTTCTAGGAATGGTACAATGTACCTTATATTTTCATTTCCTTGAATTGCAAAACATTCCATGAGGGTAGGTATTCTTGTCATCTCCTACTTTTTATACGACATCACCGAGACTCAGACACTTGTCCAGAGTCAGCCCACTAGCTAGGGAGTGGAGCCAAGATGCATCCCAGATCTGCCTGACTCCAGACCTGACTTTTTACTTGAATTTAACCGACATTTAAATGAGCATATGTGTGGATGGAAATAGTGAGGCGGTAGCTGTTTTCAAATAGCTCATATTCTAATGGGGCTGTCAAAACTTAACCACATTAACTATAACTTGAGGCAGAATGTGATAACAACTGTGCAGAAATTGGAAAGTTTTGTGCTATTTTTGCTTATTAAATCCTCCCCTTGCCCCTAATTAAAAGTATTGAGGGTATATGGGAGAAATAAGTATAAAATAGTTCATTGGATTTTGCTCCAAAATAAAGTCGATTTTTAAAAAAATCTCTCCTCACTACGTGCTATTTCTCACCAGAATGGCATATTTCTAGGAGACATTTAGGTACACTTATTATCATGGAGTTCTTCTCATCTTGTTGAAACAAAACACGCTTGTCAAAAGCACAACAAAAAGCAAGAAAAATGGGCAACAGAAATAGAAGGGAGCTTTAAAAAAATCAGCTTTGGGGGACAGGCAGTGGGACTGGTTCTGGTGGTCTCATGTAATATGTGAAGGTACAGCCTATTCCTTTGCTTCAGGAAATACAGTGGTGTTTGTAAGGACCCCAGGGTACAGTCAACGGTCGGTGGTTTTTTCCAAATCCCAAACTCACCGACAGCGTTGAATGTTCCTTGGAGCCCTCTGAAGGCTGGGTCCTGGCTCTGGCAGCCTTTCTCCAGTCTGTCCCCGCCTTTCAGGAGCCATGAGCAGTGAGACCACTCTGATGTGGCTCTCACGTTCTTTTCGGGTTTTTTTTCCTCTTAAAATCCCTTCCTTTTTTAAAAGATATATTTTATTGATTATGCTATTACAGTTGTCCCATTTCCCCCTTCACTCCCCTCCACCCTGTACACCCTCTTCCACCCACATTCCCCAACTTTAGTTCATGTCCCTGTGTCATACTTAAGTTCTTCAGCTTTTACATTTCTCATACTATTCTTACCCTACCCCTATGTATTTTCTCCCTTCCATCTATGCTACTTATTCTCTGTACCTTTTCCCCTCTCTCCTCCTCCCGCTCCCCTGTTGTTAACCCTCTATGTGATCTCCATTTCTGTTCCTGTCCTAGTTGTTTGCTTAGTTTCTTTTGGTTTTACTTTAGGTGTGGTTGTTAATAATTGGGAGTTTGCTGTCCTTTTACTATACATTTTTTTTAAGTCTTCTTTTCTTAGATAAGTCCTTTTAACATTTCATAAAATAAGGGCTGGGTGAAGATGAACTCCTTTAATTTGACCTTATCTGAGAAGCACTTTATCTGCCCTTCCATTCTAAATGACAGCTTTGCTGGATAGAGTAATCTGGGATATAGGTCCTTGTCTTTCATGACTTGGAATACTTCTTTCCAGCCCCTTCTTGCCTGTAAGGTCTCTTTGGAGAAATCAGCTGACAGTCTGATGGGAACTCCTTTGTAGGTGACTGTCCCCTTATCTCTTGTTGCTTCTAGGATTCTCTCCTTCATTTTTACCTTGGCTAATGTAATTATGATGTGCCTTGGTGTGTTTCTCCTTGGGTCCAACTTCTTTGGGACTCTCTGAGCTTCTTGGACTTCCTGGAAGTCTATTTCCTTTGCCAGAATGGGGGAAGTTCTCCTTTATTATTTGTTCAAATACATTTTAAATCTGTTGCTCTTCCTCTTCCCCTCCTGGTCCCCCTATAATTCGGATGTTGGAACGTTTAAAGATGTCCTGGAGGTTCCTAAGCTTCTCCTTGTTTTTTTCAATTCTTATTTCTCCATTCTTTGCTGTTTGGTTGTTTCTTTCTTCCTTCTGGGCCACTCTATTGTTTTGAGTCCCAGTTTCCTTCCCATCACTATTGGTTCCTTGTGCATTTTCCTTCATTTCTTTTATGGTAACCTGCATTTGTTCATCTAATTTGTGACCAAAATCAACCAATTCTGTGAGCTTCCTGATCACCAGTGTTTTGAACTGTGCATTTGATAGGTTAGCTATCTCTTGGTCGTTCAAAAGGATGAGTTCTGGGGCACTGATTTGTTATTCTGTTTGAGCCATCTCTCTCTCTCTCTCTCTCTCTCTCTCTCCCTCTCTCTCTCTTTTTGGTCTGGTCGCTCTTATTGTGGTGAGGGGCGGAGCCTTAGGTGTTCACCGGGGCTGGGTACCCCAGTCGCTAGGTTGTGACGTTGTATGTGGGGGTGGGGTCGAGAGGGAACAGTGGTGGTAGCTCCGCTCTCTGGGGGACCTCAGTCCCTTCCCTGGGATCCTGGGCTGCGCGCTCTGCCCTGCTCCACAATTGCTGCCTCACTGGGTCTGCCAGCTGCCGCTTGCGTGCTCAGGGTCCACCCGCTGCGATCCTGCGCACCCCAGATGGCTTCCGCGCCCCCGGTTGCCTTATGCTCCCAACTCTTCCTGCTCTCTGCGCTGCGCCCTGCGCCGAGCTCCTCATCTCCACGCCCCCCCCACCAGTCTGGATGAACGGGTCTATTTCAACTTCTTGGCTGTCTGACTTCCATTCAGATAAATCTTCTGTCAGTTCTGGATGTTATTCTACCTCTAAATTGTTGTTGTTCCAATCTTGGTTGTACGTGGAGGCACGGTGCATCCACCTATGCCTCCATCTTGGCCGGAAGTCCAAATTCCTTCCTTTTAAAAAATATATATATTTTACTGATTATGCTATTACAGTTGTCCCATTTCCCCCCCCCCCCTTTATTCCCCTCTGCCCTGCATATCCCCTCTCACCCACATTCCCTGCCCTCCCCCCCTTAGTTCATGTCCACGGGTACATATAAGTTCTTTGGATTCTCCATTTCCTATACTGTTCTTAACCTCCCCATGTCTATTTTGTACCTATCATGCCTATAGTACCTATGCTTCTTATTCCCTGTACCTTTTTCCCCATTCTCCCCCCACCCTCCTGCTGATAACCCTCCATGTGATCTCCCTTTCTGTGATTCTGTTCTTGTTGTCAGAAACTAATGCTTAATTTTTGTTGTTTTTTTTTTTTAGGATCAGTTTTTAATAGTTGTGAGTTTGTTGTCATTTTGCTGTTCGTAATTTTGATCATCTTCTTTTTCTTTCCCTTTAACATTTCATATAATAATGGCTTGGTGATGATGAACTCCTTTAACTTGACCTTATCTGAGAAGCACTTTATCTGCCCTTCCATTCTAAATGATAGTTTTGCTGGATAGAGCAATCTTGGATGTAGGTCCTTGTCTTTCATGACTTGGAATCCTTCTTTCCAGCCCCTTCTTGTCTGTCAGGTCACTTTTGAGAAGTCAGCTGACAGTGTGATGGGAACTCCTTTGTAGGTTACTGTCTCCTTATCTCTTGCTGCTTTTTGTATTCTCTCCTTCATTTTAATCTTGTCTAATGCAATTATGATGTGCCTCACTGTGTTCCTCCTTGGGTCCAACTTGTTTGGGACTCTCTGAGCTTCCTGGACTTCCTGGAAGTCTATTTCCTTTGCCAGATTGGGGAAGTTCTCCTTCATTATTTGTTCAAATAAGTTCTCAATTTATTGCTCTTCCTCTTCCCCTTCTGGTACTCCTATGATTCAGATGTTGGAATGTTTAAAGTTGTCTCACAGGTTCCTAGGGCTCTCCTCATTTTTTTTGAATTCTTGTTTCTTCATTCTGTTCTGGATGAACGTTTATTTCTTCCTTCTGTTCCAAACTGTTGATTTGAGTTCCGGCTTCCTTGCTGTCACTGTTGGTTCCCTGTACATTTTCCTTTATTTCACTTTTCATAGCCTTCATTTTTTCCTCTAATTTGCAACCATCCTCAACCAATTCTGATTACCAGTGTTTTGAACTGTGCATTTGATAGGTTGGCTAGCTTTTCATTGATTAGTTGTATATTTTCTGGAGCTTTGATCTATTCTTTCATTTGGGCTTTTTTTGGGGGGTGGTCTCCCCACACCTGTTATGTAGTAAGGGGCGGAACCTTAGGTATTCGCCAGGGTGGGGCAGCCACTTTACTGCCTAGCATGCTGGATGTGGGGGAGGGGTCTGAGAAGGCCCACAGCTGCTTGCTCAGCTCTCTGCCTGTTTTCAGTCACTTTCCCCACTACCCACAAGCAAATTGGGTCCTTCTGGTGCTGATTCCCGTGTGGGTGGGTTTGTGTATGTTCTAGGACCCTGTGCGTCTCTCTAACGAACTCTCCTGTGAGGCTGGGAGTTTCTCCCACTGCCGCAACAGGTTTTTCCAGTTAGAGGCTTTGAGGCTTTATTTCCCGGTGCTGGAACCCTGGGTGCGTGGTCTGTCTCAATCCCCAGTTGTTCCTCCTGTTTTATCTGCACGCAAATGTGGAACCGACCGCTCCGCCAGCCGTCGCCTTGCCCGCTCTTCCCGCCGCCGCCGGACACCCAGGGCCTCCAGATGCTGCCTCGTCAAGAGTCTTCTCTGCCGTGGCTGCCCGTCTCCACCCCTCCTGCTGGTGAATGTTGAATGTTTCTGATGAATGTTTCTTCTTTAACTTCCTTGGTTGTGGGACTTCCATACAGTTCGATTTTCTGCCAGTTCTGGTTGTTTTTTTGTTTTTAAATTTGTTGTTTTCCTTTTGGTTGTGCGAGGGGGCACAGTGTATCTACCTATGCTTCCATTTTGGCCACACGTCCTCTTTTCAGGTTTTAGTTTGAGAGTATTTAAATTTTGAGAACGTACTTGTATACTGCTGAGAGCTAATGAACTTCAGGATTGTGAGACGGTAGTATTTATACAAGCAGACTCAAGTGGATGTCTGAGAAGATGGCTCTGAATGACATTTTTTTAATTCTGAAAATGTCAAATATCCCATTTTATAGTAGTCTGTGTTCATAATAAAGGGAGAGGGTAAAAAAGAACTTAATTGAGTACCCTACTGCTTGCTGAGATTTGTATATTTTTATTTCATCAAAATCTCAGCAACCCACTTTACCTCAGGGGAAATCTGAGTCGTACAGGGGTCAAGGGTTGATTTGCCCAAAGTCACATAGGCGAAAGTCACGTAGGCGAAAGCCAACGTTAAAGCCAGAGCTTAAACCCTGGACTTCGTGACTGCAGAGCTCACGGACCATACTTCCCTCCTCCCTTATCCACAACAAAATTTACTGTTGAGTTTCTGAGGGTAGAGCCTTCAATGAGAGCTACGTCTCAAACAAGCAAACATCCTCTTATTTGCCTTTAATAATAGTTGGTGAGGCTATAGATGAAATGTTTCGTACAGGAAGATGAAAAACATTAACCTTCAGAATTGATAGTCTCCCTAGCTAAGAGCCTGGAGTACTAGGTTATCACAGAGGTTTGTTGGTAGTCTGCAGGTTATTTTCTATGTTAAAAAAAACAGAACAGGAACTCTCCCCCCCCCCCCCAATAGAAAAGCCCACATTTCTCAGGGAGTTCACAAGAGAGGACCTAAAATGTCACGTGCCTTTGCTTTTGGCAGAAAGGGTATTAGTGCATTGTAGACATACTGATTATTTGTATTGGCTATTGGCGTCCTTGATGAAACATCTGGAAAATGAATGAATTATATGGATGGAACTCGTCAGAATGTAGGGTTTATAATGGGAGGGATCCAGGAGTGCTCAGTGGCAATACGGGCTTACAGAACTGCTGGCTGGATTTAGGTTAATCTTTAATCAGGGATAGTTATTACCATTTGCTTCAGGTTTAAATATTAAAGGTTGACTGTTCTCAAATTTATTTTTTAAAGCAGACAAATGGTACATAATAAAAAAACAACCACTGAGAATTTTGTTTGAATGGGAACTGTTTATATTCTCCATTAGTTTAGTTATTTCACCCTTGGTCAAAACACATCAGTTAGCTTCGTTGAGTTCTCCGTGATATGACAGGAAGTTGTATAAAAATGACAGTAAAAAATTAAGCAGCTGTTTTGTGTATTATTTTTGCAAATCTTAAATGGGTTTATTTTAAATGGTCCTCTGCTTGCCTTGATCATATGAAGAGATGTCAGTGCTTTATACCATTTGGATAAAGAATGGTTTTCATGGTTTGAAAAATGAGAGAAGAGTGAAAGGTGGGCTTCCAGATGACACAGGGGGTTTCTCATTGTGTTTGAGGTAATTGTTTTCATGGCAGTAAAGCTTTCAGCACCCTCATTCCTTTAATTTGCTTTAAGTTCGTAATTTCATTTTTTATTAAGTGAGTTTAAGGCACACATTGCATCTTTTAAGTGAGTTTGGCTAAAGGGTTTATGTACTCAGTGCAAGGATAAAGTCTAAGGGTTAAATTAGCAAAGAGTTATAGAAGCTACATATTTAATAAATTGGTCCAGCTATTTAATTCTTGATTTAGATGGGTTTTGAGTTTGTCAGAACTCACCGTGCCATCCTTTATCGTTCCACTTACCTCCTTTCTGTCGTTTTGCAGAGGTGCTACAAAATATTGAAGCCCACTTAGCTTTAGTTTGGAGATGTAAATGTTTCCATAGTCCTGTTGAGGCCTCTTGATATACTTGAAAGAAAACAAGAAGCATAAACTCAGTTAAATGAAGTATTTTAGGAATTGGTACCATAGAAGTGGCGTCGCTGTCGCAGGTTGCTGCCTGCCCAGGCACTTCCCAGGCACCGTGCAGGGAGCGTCTCATGACGTGTTTGGGGTGATGCTGCTGGCCTTGAGGGTAAATCTTAAGTTGTGAAGATGACAACATGTCAGCGTGAATTCATGTTCCTCTTAGCCACTCTGCTAGTGTTCTGCTTCGTTCCTTTACTAATTCAGCAGCGTAATCCTGAGAATTATTTCTCCCATATACAACCCTTGCCACCATGGATCTCAGTGTCTACCCAGGGAACTAGACGTGGACACAGCTGATGATAAAGAGGGTGATCGCTGAGCTGGTGGAATTACATGAACCGTGTTCAGGGTAACAGAAAAGAAAGGTTAACTCTGCCCAGAAGTGTCAGGAAAGGTGGATCTAACTGGTCACATTTGATCTGGGCCTTGAATATTTAGTTGAATTTTCACTTGACAGAGAAGGAAAGATATTCCAGTAGAGGGAGAGTGGTGTATAGTGAGATTAACCTCTCAGAGCATCAGTGAAGACGGACAAATAGTACTTCTCCTTTTGCACAGAGTTGTGAAAAGCTGTGAGGGCTATGTACGTGCAAGTAGCGTGCAAATGTAATTGCGAGGTCTCACTTTCTCATTGCTTTTGGTTCATATGTGCTAAGTGGAGTAAAGTACCTTGTCATGATAGACGTTTCCAAATTGGAATCTTACTTGGCTATGTTTTTTTTTCCCTTTAAAGTGACCATAGTTTAACATGTTGATATATTAAGTATTTGGAGAAGCACTATTAGAGCCTAGTAAAGAGCACAGACTTTGAAGCTAGAATCTTGACTTTGCAGCTCTGTGACCATGGGCAATTACTTAACCTCCCTGTTTCTCTGTTTCCTTACATGTGAAATGGACATGTTGGTAGTATCTGCCTCATAGGACTATCATGAGGACTAAACGACGTAAAATATGTCAAGTGTGTGAAATAGACCTGACACATGTTAAAAGCTATATGAATTATGTTATTTCAAAATATTTAAATTGTTAAAATCATTTGCAACTATTACTTACATGTTACTAAATGAATTGCATGTTTTGCCCAGAATTTGGTTTCTAGTCTATATACATTAATGTAAAAAACCTCTTTTACAGTTAAATGGCCTCCCACTAGTTATTTATATGCACATTTAAAGAAATTTTTGAAATTAATGCTTCACCACTTTCTTTGTGACCTCAGGTAAAGTTTTTATTTTCCATAAGCATCAATTTCCTCAATCTATAAAAATGAGAATCATATTAGTATTTGCCACATAGACAGTGAGGATTAAGTTAGATAATATAATTAAAAACTCTCTAGAAAGCCGTGGAATCTCTCCCTTAATACATACACATAAATAAAATTTTGAAAGTGATTTCAGTTACGGACTCCCAAGAACCCATCTGTAGCCTCCCTATGAATTTCAGGTTAAGAAATTCTGACCAGAGCTGTAGACCAAGAGATTTCATAGTCTAGTCTTGTCACTGGTCATTGTCATTGGAAGTCTGGATATTCATTTTATTGAATGACTTCTTGCCACCAGTAGTGCACATGGTCGCCATCATCTAGTCACACCTTTTCCCTAAAGCGTAACCTGTGTGGTGTAACCAGACAGTAATAACCAGACAATGATAGTTGCTGGGAAAGTGGTTATTTAGACTTTGTCAGGTTGTTTACTAATTGTAGATAACAGCTATTAAGTACTAGTTCTGCTTATACAAGTAGAATCTGCAAGTTTCCAGATGAGGAGTTACAGAAATATTTGAGTTAACTATCTTATTTTGCAACAGTTCCCTCCACCCTCTCACTGTCCCGGTCCCCCCTCCCCCCACCTTGCCCCAGGCCCATTTGTTTGGATCTGATTCCAGCACTATGACTACTAATTCTGGCTTTGAGCTAGGCTGAAAGAATGTGTTATTTTAAGACAGTGCTTACAAAGGAGCCTGCGTAATCCACAGTGTTTACTTGAATATTAGGAAAAGGGAAAAAAATGTTTGCCACAGGTTGTGGTTGTATATGGAAGGTCATTCTTATATTTAGCCTGTTTGAGGTTTTACCAGAGTTGAGAGGTAGGAATAGAAATTTAAACTTAATAGCTTAGAACATTTTGCTATTTGACATGGCAACTTTATATCAAGTTACCCCAGATACTTTAGATGAGTCTGGAAGACAAGAGGAGGCCAACTCACTGAGATAATTTGATCTAGTGCCAAAGGCAGTGAATATTTTCTCTTCAAATGGGGCATATACTTCAAAACCTATCAAAATATTCTAAGGGCCACCTGAATTGTTCATCCCCTAGTAACAATGATTTCATGTGTTTGAGACTTTATTTTAGATTATTTTGCAAACCCACGGGAGAAGCAGGACTTTATTTTTCCATGGTAAATTAATTCACAGGATATCTGTAATCAATGAACAACTCTTCGAAGTAACTGTACCAAGGGTTGTTATTCAGCTGAGCTGAATGAGTGAGTGTGTGAGTTAGGAATATGAAGTCACAAGGGAAACAGGAACCACAATCATCTGTTAGCTGATACTCACGGGGATTCTGGAATGGGCTGGAGAGAGTCTTGGGTTTTTTTCTGTGTGTGAAGTGTGTTGGCAGAGTTTTTTAATGTCCTTTAGTGCCAAGAGCGTGTGTTTTTTCCTCCACTAGTTAATGAAATAAACAAGAACAGTGATCAAAGGACTCAATTTTTCCTTTTTTTACAAAAATGAAACCCTGATGATACACCAATAATATAGGACTGTGGTTTTCTTCCTTTGACCTATTTTAGTTTATTGGGTTAAATTTAAGCATATGGCACTTGCTTTTAAAAACTTGATTTTTATTATGAAGTTTATTATAGCCTGAGGTAGATTACAGCTTTGTGTTAAGGCATCTTAAGTTATAGGTAATGAGACATAGTCATTCCATAACTAACTTTAGTTATTCATAACATTTAGAGAAAATGTTGTTTAAATTTTGCTTTTCTTGGCTAATTCCAGTATGTAATTGAATCTTTGTAAAATATGTTTTAAAAGCTTTATTTTTGAGTGTATATTTTCTAGAAAAGCTATGCTTAGATGTACCCCATGTTTTCATAAATGAAATAGTAATTTACTAGGTTGGGTAAGCTGTTAATACTTGACATATTGTTTTTAGACCTATGTCTTCATTGGTAACCTGATGGACAGTTCTATTTGAATGGAATGCTAATCATAGATAGGGGGAAAATTCTGAGATAAAAAAAAACAAACGAAATTCCAGTGTACAGTTTTATAGCTTTCAAAGCTGTCAGGAATCTTAGAGGTCATTTAATCTAATGATTTTCAAACTGACTTTGCATCAGGATTAATTGTGGTAGTGTTAGGAAGTGTAGATTGCTAATAATGTATATTTTTAGGCATCATCCTAGAAATGTAAATGATATCTTCTAGGAGTGGGTTCTGTAGTTTTCATATGCCCCCAGCGGACTCTGATGTAGCCATTTTATGGACATTTGGGAATCTCTCATTTAGGCTAAGATCCTTCTTTAGTAGATGAGGAAGCTGATTCGGAAGGAAAATGAAAACCCAAATCACACAGTGGGTTAGAATTGAAATCCTTGGCCCTGTGTGTGCGTGCGTACGCGTGTGTGTTTACTTATACCACACTACCACTTCCTTATGAAAAAGCATGCCTTTTGCAGAAGTTTCCCAATGTCCTGTTGGCCATCTGCAAAGTGTGTTTGCAAAATTATTCTGCCTGCTAGGTCAAATGTCTTAGCCTTAGGGGTGTACTGAGAACCAGTACAACCAGACCATTGACTGGAATTTGGTATGCTGACCTGAAGCATTTGACTAAGTAAGCAACACTGAGTGGTGTTGGCTTAAAAACTGTCCATAGCATGAGATGCGAAATAGCTATAAATGATCAAAATTCTGTGAAGGCCCTCCAGGCTCTGACATTTATCAGCTGCTGCACTTGAACACTTCTCTCTAATCAAAGTTGACTACCACTGGATGGAAGAGGCTTGCAGAAGCTCACTGGGGAGGAATTTATTTTAATTGTGCCAGTGAGAAGGCAGAAATGATTTCAATAAAGATCAAGAACCTCCAAATACACTTAAGCTTGGCTCCTGGCCAAGTGTCCATCCTCAGGAAGGAGTTGGTGTCAGCTGCTGCCTAGTGACTTGAGGTACTTCAAAAAAGCCAAAGGCATTACCTTTCCCGACTTGGCAGGCAGGAGTGGCACAGGAATCAAGGCCTGACACATGCCATCAGCCTGGAAAAGGTGGAGTTTGGACACTAATGATGGCTCTTGTCACAGCTGAGGGTGATAAAGTCAGGACTCAGCTTGGGCGTTAGTTTGCATAGGAGAGGAGTTACAGCTCAGAGAACACCTGCCAAGAATTTTCACTGCCCCAGTTGTGTGTCAGTGACGAATTCTTCGCCCTGGCCTCCTGACACTTCTTTTTAATGGGTGATGGCAGAGATGCCAGATGGGTACAGAAGAGAAGCGGCTTGATTATATGTATAGCACATCTCCTTATTTGCTTGTTTTCTTGCCATTTTCTGTGTAGAAATAAATTTTGCCACACTCCAGGCTAGTGTTTTGTTCTGTCTGTATCTGAAGGTATGCTGGGCCAGAGTCACAGGTCCTCTCCATAAATGCCACTGCTGGTGACCACACAGATGTTTTGATGGACAGTTATGAGAAAGCATTTTTGCTGATGTATCTCTGTTAGAAGTGTTATTTTCAAATCTCAGCTCTGCCAGTTAGTAGTTGTGTTACTTTTGGTATTTGGTTTATTCTTCATTTCTTGTCTATAAAGTGGAGGCTAGTAATTAATTGTACTTACATCACAGGATTGTTGTGAGAATTAAATGAAATAGGAGTATAAAAATACCTGGCACCTAACATTCAAATTTCAGTTATTGTTATTATTGTAATTAT